TGGAAATACTCAGTAGCCCCTGGGCTCCTGGCTGTGACCTGGCCCAGCTCCAGTGTTGTGGCCATGCAGGCAGTGAGTCACCAGATACAAGACTTCCCATTCTGTCTTACCCTCTTTGTCTCTCTACCATTCCGTTGCAAAAAAGAAATCTTAAAAAACTTAGGCAGAATGGAGTGAGAACATACGTTTATTTTGAAAACCTAAGTTTATTTAGGAGCATGTGGGGAAGATTCCACGTGTACTTTGTCACTGTCCATGTTGTCCATGAGGTGTGTGACCCGCACATAGCAGGTGGCCGGCGGCAGGGTTCTCCGTGTAAGATCTGCAAACACAGACAGACACACACACGCACACATGACCAGATGCCCAGGCTGCCTCCTCCTGTGCCGGTGTCTCCTCGTCTCGGTGCTGGGTTCTCTCCTGATGCCCTTGTCCCTGCCAGTGGCTCTCTCCTAACTGTCTGCCCCTCCCCCTCCCCCTCCCCCTCCCCTGCACCTGCACCTGAACCTGTGCCATGTGACGCAGCACTGCGCTTCCTCTGGTGCTGCTGTCCATCTGCCTTCCTCCAGGGCCCAGGACTCTGTATCAGCTCTGCCTCCTGACGCTTTCTCTTTGTGTCTCTGCACACTGTCCCTTTGCTCTGTGTGCAATTATGATTCGCATATATCAAATATGGAGAGAGAGCGGCACTCATAGAGAGAGCTGGCGATACAGAGAGTGAGAGAGAGAACACCCCCATCGCTGGTTCACACTCCTCTGTCCCCTGTAACAGCTGGGGCTGGCCCTGGGCTGTATGGATCACAGAGCTCAGAGAACTAAAGCAGGACTCCATGGCGACAGGAAGCCCAGATCTGAGCCATCACTGTTACCTGCTGGGGTCTGAGGTAGCTGGAAGCTGCAGTCTGGAGGCAGGGGTGTTTGTGTGTGTGTGTGTGTGTGTGGATCCCAGGCTCGCCCATGGGGGACACAGGTGCCTCCTTAGAGGCCCAGACCACCTACAGAGCGCCTGCTCTGCTGTCTGCTGTGTCCCGGGGCTGATTTCATTCAATCTGTTGCCTGTGTTTCTGGGCGCCTCCTGTCTGGCCAGTGTTCTGGAAGGGCCTTGGTTCCTCTGTTCCTTTCATTTTGTTCCTGCTTAGACCTTCTGTGGGTCCTAGAAGAGGCCCTGTGAGCAGCGCTCGGCTCTGTCCTTGTCATTTGAAGGAGCTGTCAGGAGAGGCAGGGCCGGGCCCGCTCCAGGCTCTCGGGTTGGCCAGGACGAGCTGGGCTGTGTGCAGATCCTCTCCGTCCTGGATTCAGCCAAGCCAGCGAGCGCCACTGCAGAGCCGCTCACAGCTCCCAGTCTGCTGTCCTAGCCTCTGCAACACGACGCCGGCTCCCGAGCGCTGTCCCCGCGGCTGGGTCCCGGATGCCCACGTGTGTGTCCAACCTCCCTCTGCGACTGCCCTGAAATGTTTCTGGAAGGAAGACATTGGGACAGGAAGCTTGAGCCCAAGCCGACAGTGCGGCTGTGAGTGTCGCTCCGCCAGCCCCAGCCAGAAGGGGAGAAACCCAGCTGGAGATCAGATCTTCCTCCCTGCTCACCACCTGAGCTGGGACCTGGTGTGTCCTCACTCCAGACCTGAGCGACAGCACCAGCATCTCTGGGTCTCACTCCTGCCCTGCTGGGACTGGAGCAGACCGCGTGCTCTGGGTTCTCAGTCTTGCAGCGGGGTCTGCACAGGAAACCTGGTGCTCCCGAGGGTCCCCACAGCTGAGCGCAAGGCTGGGACTTGGGGATCCAGAGTTACATGCACAATTTCTTTATAAGAAATCTCTCTCTCACTCCCTCTCTCTCTCACTCCCTCTCTCTCTCTCTGTCGTCACACTGTACATCCATCCTGGGATCCACTGATTCCCTAAAATATTTTCTGGAATGTTCCAATTCTATTCTCACTGTGGTATACAGCACATGTGTTAGACGGGACTCCAAGGCGACATGCATGGGAGAGAGCGGAGAGGCTGCACTTCATTAACATGAAGACTTCTGCTCTTGCATGAGAGCATGTTGCTGATTTTAGGGACCAAGGAAGAAGGGAGGCAGCCAGTCAGAGCAGAAACAACTTGGATCGAAGTCAGGACAGAGAGGCAGGGCAAGGGAGATTCTCGCTCAGCCGGTGAGCAGGGGTCTGAGAAGAGAGTCAGCCCCTGGCCAGGGCACTGCAGCCCACCGATGCTGCTTGTAGAGACAGGGTATTGGGGCGGGGGGGGAATGTGTGAGGCCCTCATCCACTGAGAGAGGACGGTTTGAAGAGGCAGAAGACCCCCTTGGTCAGAGTTTGCATCACCTGCTCCTCTCAGCTGGGAACGTAACGGGCCAAGCAGGCAGCTGAACGCCGTGGCCGCAGCACCTCAGCGTCACTCTGCCCCAGGTTCCGTGTGCCCTGTGTGAGGGTCACACTTGGGGCACACGGCCCCGAAGTCCTAAGAGGAAACCCTGTGAGAATGAGCAGTCAGGCCCTGCCGGAAGGACACCCTGATACCAGGAGGGCTCTCAGAGGCCGGGCACCCACTGAATCTCCCGGCAGAATTCCTGGACTGGAGTTTCTCCTTTAGGTTTCCGTACATAGATTCCATGTCTACCAGGAGTCTGGGGGCTTCTGATGATTTCCCCTTGGGAGCAACATGGTATTGGGCGTCCACAAGGACTTGAGCACTTGGCCCATTTTGTCTCAGGTTGTTACATGGTTTGACACGGAGCTGGGGTAGTTTGTCTATATTATGTGTCTCATGTTCACTGAGCCTTAGCTCCATTATATTTAAATTCTCTCTGTGTGTGTGTCTGTGTGTGTGTCTCTCTCTCTTTCTCTCTCAAACACACAGGCACACATACACACACATCTGGTAAGTGGTCTTAGTTGTGGAAAATCTTCCCCAGCTGTGGTCAGGGAAGAGGAGGTGGGGCCAAGGTGAGGTGCTGCCCACTTTGCATGGGCAATAGTGAAGTGGTGGGGGGGAATCTAGGATACGAGGAAGCCCCAGGCCCTGGCAGTGCCAGATCACCCTGGACAATTTCTCCAATGATGTGAGAACTGGGGGTGAGGAGAACACGGTCACGCGCAGGCAAGCTCTCCAGCCTGGAGTCCCCACTCGGGTCACCCTGAGTCATCTCAAGTATAAGTCAGGACTGGGCATGCGCTAGTCAGGGATGGGATCTCCATTCCCCCTGGGTTGGGGGCGGTGAACTCCTGGGGAGGCTCCCAGGTGTCAAGGGCGTTCCTTCCTCCTGGGGCCCTCAGGCTTCAGGACCTGTGAGCCGAGCTGCCGCCTGGCCCTGGGTGCCCAGCCTCCGGCAGCCCTGGCCTCCGGCTGCACTGGTTGACCATTCTCTGCTGTGCGGGTCCCATGCTGCACACCCCAGGTCCCACGTTTGTCTCTGTCCTCGGGTGGGATCCCAGACGTCGGTTCCATCAGCACATTGCGCTCCTGAATTGCTCTCATGGGTTGTTGCCACTCTCCTGGTACTGAAGGGTTTCTATCAACGATTTCCTGGAATGCAATACTGGGGAGAGATGGGGAGAGGATGACATAGGGGCAGATAGAAGAGGGTGCCTTTTTTTTTTTTTTTTGGCATGCAGAGTTAGACAGTGAGAGAGAGAGAGACAGAGGGAAAGGTCTTCCTCTTTCTCCATTGGTTCACCCCCCAAGTGGCTGCTATGGCTGGCACGTTATGGCCATTGCACTGCGCTGATCTGAAGCCAGGAGCCAGCTGCTTCCTCCTGGTTTCCCACGTGGGTGCAGGGCCCAAGGACCTTGGCCATCCTCCACTCCCTCCCGGGCCACAGCAGACAGCTGGACTGGAAGAGGAGTAACCGGGACAGAATCTGGCGCCCCAACCGGGACTAGAACCTGCAGTGGGGGCGCCGCAGTCAGAGGATTAGCCTAGTGAGCTGCGGTGCCGGCCAGAAGAGGGTGCTTGTACCTCTGCTGGGTCACTCCATGTAGCTGCCAGGACTGAGTTGGAATTTGGTACCTGATCCCTAACCAGAGGCTCCCAGTGCCTGAGCAGAGCGCTGGACCACAAGGAGAGCCCCTGGGACCCGTGCTGACACCCAGTGTGGGAGCAGGAGTCCCCATCCGGGGCTTCTCCACGGCATCTCCTCTCTCGCTCAGACTGAAGGATGACTCCAATATCCTAGACTTTCTCACGTGACTTTTGCCCTGATTGTCTCTGTGTGGGGTCAGTGCAGTGACCTGGACGCTGGCCTGATGCTCCTGGTCTAGCAGCTGGATATGTGTGGTTGGATCCTGCAGGGAACCTGACACAGAGGAGTCTGGGGTTTCCTGATCCCCCATAAGGACAGGAGCACAACGCATGGGGGAGGACTCTGGGTCAGCATGAGGGTACACTGATCCCCGGGTGGAGGAGCAGATCCTGTGTCCCCCAACCAGGCAGCAAGAATGACACAGGTCTTGGAAATCTGCTTTATTTATAATCACGAGAAAGCATGGGCAGAGGGAAGAGCAGGGGACACCAAGTGTGTGGACACGGACTGTGTAACCATGGGACGGCCCCTCGTGTGCCCATGGCCACGGCCAGGCAGGATCACCCCACTGCGAGAATGGGGATGTCTGGCCCAGTGGAAGAGAAAGGCAAAGGGCTCTGTTCTGGAATGGACCAGAGAGAATTTTCTAGAAAGAAGAGGGGCAGAGACACTAGTGCTGCAATGCACACCCTCGGAGACAGAACTGTGGGGACAGAGGCACAGGAAGTGGCTAAGAGACTGTGAGAGGGCAGAGGTGCCCTGTGATGGTGACAAGGGCACTCGGGCACAGCTCGGTGGAAAAGAGGAGGAGGGAGGGGCCCTCGGCAGCCTCAGCTCCAAGCAGAGAGCAGGACAGGCCTGAGGCCAGGGCAGGGCAGGCTGCCTGCCCCAGGTCTCTGCAGCCAGGCGGGGGCCCAGGGCTGGGGGCCACACATCAGGGGTGGGGCTCAGTGCCTGTAGCTCTTCCTGCTGGAGGTGGTGCTGCTGTACTTGATGGAGGAACCGCTGCCCCCGGCGGAGCCCAGGCCGCCCCCGAGGCCGAGGCCGATGCCGCTGCCAGCACTGAAGCCGCCTCCGAGCCCGTGGCCACTGCTGTAGGAGTAGCTGCTGCCGCCGCCCACACCTGCGCCGCTGCCACTGGCGCCGTAGCCGCTGGACACGGTGGACTGCACCACGGCTGCAGGGTGCACACAAGCACACAGCATGAGCTGGTGAGCACCTGTGCCCAGCCCCAGCCCAGTCCCAGGAGCGCCAGGGCAGGGAGGAAGGGAGCAAGGACTTACAGATGTTGACTTGTCCAACGCCTTCGCCACTCAGCCTAGGAGAGAGGACGGGGGAGGTGAGACCTAGGAGCTCTACTGAAGACAAGGGCAGGCCAGCGGCCCTCCCGTGGTCCAGAGGGACGCAGCTGGGCCCAGACTGGGAGCCCTGGGCTGGCTCAGACCAGGTGCCTGTGCACCCAGGTGCAGAAGGAGGGGCAGGCTCACCTGCACTCCTCGCCCTCCAGCAGCTTCCTGTAGGTGGCGATCTCGACATCCAGCGCCAGCTTCACATTCATGAGCTCCTGGTACTCCCTGAGCAGCCGCGCCATGTCCTGCTTGGCCTTCTGCAGGGCGTCCTCCAGCCCCTCCAGCTTGGCCCGCGCGTCCTTGAGGGCCAGCTCCCCGCGCTGCTCGGCGTCGGCGATGGCCGCCTGCAGGGAGGCGCACTGGGGCGGGAGGAGAGCAGGCAGAGGCTCTGAGCATCTCCATCTCCCAGATCGCATTTATCTGCCATTCCCTGGTGGAATTGGCACTGTTCCCACAACGTGGGTTTCTTGCCCTAGGCTGGGTCCACCCCTGCTCAGCCCCCATAGAGTAGGGAATTCCCAGCATCTTGCCCGATGCGAGCCTAGGGTGCAGCAGGGACACCAGAGAGAGTTGGCCCCACCCCCGCGCACCTGCTTCTTGACGTGGTCGATCTCAGACCTCAGCCTCTGGATCATGCGGTTGATCTCCGCGATCTCCTGCTTGGTGTTGCGCAGGTCGTCCCCGTGTCTGCCGGCCGTGACCTGCAGCTCCTCGTACTGCGGGGGGGAGGGCGGGGGAGACAGACATCGGTGAGCCGCACCGGTAGGGTTTTGAGAGCAAATGAGAGGTAGAGACAGATCCAGAGCTGAGGACGGAGAGACACCATCCCCTGCCTCAGCCCCAGATGTCTGCCAACAGCAGGGCTGGACACAGCCAGGTCCAGGAACTCATCCCCATCTCCCAGGTGCAGCAGGAAGCACTCATGGAGCCAAGAGCTGCGCCCTGACTGCACCCGAGCAGGACCTGAACTCAGCGGCCAGAGCAGGGCTCCCATGTGGGATGCAGGCGTCCTAACTGCTAGACCACTGGCTGGCCCATGTGGGTTTCTCCATGGAAACCATGTATCAGGTTTGTAATAACGTTACCATAATGACCCGGCAGGGGGCACTGGCTCATATGACAGCCCATCTTCTCTCAGGAGGGGACCCCAGTTATCTGCAGCCTCTGGGGTTCAGGGAGGGCCCCGGGAATCCCGCAGTGGCTGCCCCGCCATGCCCACCTTGGTCTGGTACCAGGCCTCCGCCTCGGCGCGGCTCCTCTGGGCGATGTCCTCGTATTGCGCCTTCACCTCGGCGATGATGCTGTCCAGGTCCAGGTGCCGGTTGTTGTCCATGGACAGCACCACGGACGTGTCGGAGACGTGGGTCTGCATCTGGGACAGCTCCTGTGGGGAGAGCTCCGTGACCCCTGTGCCCTGGGGGTCTCTGAGGGCCTGACCCCGGCATGAGCCCCCGCGCAGACTCTGAGTGGGGCAGATACACGGTGGGTGGAGCCACTGACCGCGTCATAGAAGGCTCTCAGGAAGTTGATCTCGTCGGTGAGACCGTCCACCTTAGCCTGGAGCTCCACCTTGTTCATGTAGGCGGCGTCCACGTCCTGGGGAAAGGGGCCACGGGCTGAGGTCAGCAGAGCGCCCCCTGCTGGGTCCCCACTGCTGGGTCCCAGGTCTGCCCCAGGGTGGGCATAGACTCAGAGACAAGCCCCGCCCTCAGCCAGACACCTGCTGCTGACATCATAGGCTCACCTTCTTCAGAGTCACAAACTCATTCTCGGCCGCCGTGCGCTTGTTGATTTCATCTTCATATCTGCTCGGAGAAGACAGGACAGGGCTGGGGCGGGGGGCAGCAGGCGGCAGAGGCCCGGCCAGGCCCCCAGAGTTTGCACGAACAGAAATAGTCCAGGCTGAGCTCATGGCACTGAGAGCCTGACAGGCAGCCTAGGGTGCCCCTCACTGTCCCGTGCTCAAGCCCTGTCGCGTGGTGCTTCTGTGCCATCAGAGGTCCTTGGACACTGTCAGGTTCATGTCCCAGCCCTCGGATGCTGCAGCTCAGGAATGGGGCCCTGGTCTGGACGCAGTCACCCTGGCCGGGACCTTGTCCCGGCAGCCCCTGAGCCGCTCCCCCACGTCACTCACTTCTTCTTGTAGTCCTCCACCAGGTCCTGCATGCCTCGCAGCTCCGAGTCCAGGCGGCCCCGCTCCCCGAGGATGCTGTCCAGCTGCCTCCGGAGGTTGCTGATGTACTGCTCGAACAGCGGCTCCAGGCTCTGCCTCGCGGGCCGGGTGCCCTGCTCCTGCAGCAGCGTCCACTTGGTGTCCAGGACCTTGTTCTGCTGCTCCAGGAAGCGCACCTGCGGGGAGCCGAGTTGGAAGGTGCAGACACTTGGCTTTGCTGTGACTTCCCTGCCTCCCATTTGCTGCTTCTCCTAAACCTTTCCTGGGGGCTCTGCTTGGCCTGTGTCTGGTGGGGGTGGGGAGACCCAGAGGGAAGCCCCCAGCCTCCCACTCTCAGGGCACAGCCAGCACCAGGAATGGCTGGCTGGAGTGGGGGGAGCTGCAAAGGCCCAGGCACTGCTGCTGCCTGGAACCTGTGGCCTTCCTGGGCCATCAGCCCCGGTATGTGAGCACAGAGTTCATGTCTGTCCTGTAGTAGCCGAGGAGCCCCAGGGCAAGCAATAATGTCCTGTCTGCCAAGCCCCTTCCCACCCAGGATGCGGGAATGAGCAGAAACCCGCACCTGCCATCAATGAAGTGATTTGCACAGAGCTGAAACCAAACTTCCCTCCCGCTGCTGAGTCCGGCATTTGCCGAAGGTCCCGGCTCACCTTGTCGATGAAGGAGGCGAACTTGTTGTTGAGGGTCTTGATCTGCTCGCGCTCCTCCGTCCTCACCCGCTGGATGGTGGGGTCGATTTGCAGGTTGAGGGGCGTCAGGAGGCTCTGGTTGACCGTGACCTCTTGGATGCCTCCAGGGGGGCACACGGGGAAGCCAGCGCCCCCGTAGCCGCCGCCAAAACCAGCTCCACCGCCGAGCCCCAAGCCGCCCCCCATGCCTGCGCCGAAACCAAATCCGCTGCCGGCTCCACCTCCGAAGCCATAGCCGCCTCCAAATCTGCTGGTGTAGCCGCCTCCGACGCCACAGCTGCCACCCACCACGGAGATCCTCCTGGAGCCCCCCACGCCATAGAGGCTGCGGCTTCCAAAGCCAGTGCCTGCACAGGCTCCCCCGAGCCCTGCACCGCCCCTGGAGCGGGACACGGAGACAGAGCTGAAGCCAGAGTGGCTGCCCCTGGGGAGTCTGGCGGAGCTGGTGCTGAAGCCGCGGCGGCTGACGCTGGTCTGGGTCCTCACGGTGGACTTGCTGGCCATGGCTGCAGGAGGGAGAAGGCTGAGCGGGCGGGAGTGCGTGAGCTGGGGCTGCTGAGCAGGTGTGTGAGCTGGGCTCCGGGCTGCACTTTATATAGGCTGAGAATGGGCTGGGCCCCGTCCCTGGAAGTGGAGCTGGCAGGGCGGGGACGGCTGAGCTCTCCCCATCCTGAGTTCACCTGGCTTAGCAGAGAAGTTTCGAAACAGCCAGTCTGCGATTTTGCTTCCTGAGTCGGGCAAAATTCCTCTGCCTCCAGCTTGGGCTGGACTTCAGCACAAGCAGAATAGCTGGAATCAGAGACGCCTGGAGCGGGGCACAGCCCAGCGAGGTTGTTCATGGGTTGCTGGCTGTGTCTCTCAAGTCCCCACCTGTCCCGTCCATGGTGGACATCACAGACTCCTTATTTTAGGCATCATGCCCTGTTCAGAATGATGGCCCCTTTCCTTGCCAGGCCTTCCAGGTGTAATGGGACTGCCCCTCCTCTGTGTAATCCCACAGAGCTAGCACAGACAGAGACCAGCAGGTTAGGATTCTGAGGACGGATCCCCGCCTGCAACACAGCCTGGAGCTGGCCTCTGGTCTTTGTCCCTTTCTGCCTCGTGTGTCCAGTTCTCAGCCGTGGAGTTTCTCTAAGGTGCTCCTGTGTCCCTCGTGTCCCTGTGAGTGACAGTTCCAATGTGAGGCTGAGTGAAGTTCTCCTGTGGCTAAAACAGTCGAGAGAGGCATGGAGTAGGGTGCCCGTGGAGAATCTGAGTGCTGGTCTCTGACCCGTGTGTGCAAGTCAGACACAGCATGGCTAAGACCAGAATGCTCGTGACGCTCGCCTCCCACCACTGCATCGTCACCCAGTTGGCATGCGTGTCCCTCCACCCAGTCAACCATTGCCGTCCATAGTTATGACCAGACATGGCCAGCGTACTGAGCCCATGCACTCACTGCTGTCTGCTGTGGTTTCCCCATTTGCTGTCTAGGAAGGTTGCACACAGCGAGTAGAGGCTGGGGGGCGAGGATTCCAGGGGGTTATCTGTGCAGGAGCCCGTGCAAGGCTGTGTGCAAACTCCGCACCATTTCTGCAGACACAGGAGCTGTGCAGCCCTTGGGCCTCCTGGAACCACCACCCTCTGATCCAGCGGGGGAACCATGTCGGGGGAGTCACAGAGCCTCCAGGTCCTGGTGGGTCCTTCTAGAACCTTCCCTGGCATATGCTCCTGTGCTGCTCCTGGGGAGCCTGTGGGGTGCAGGTGCCTGGGTGTGTGTGTGAGTGAGTGTGTGAGTGTGGATGTGTGTGAATGTGTGAGTGGGTGTGGATAGGTGTGAGTGTATGTGTGAGTGTGTGTTTGAGTGTGAGTGTATATGTTTGAGTGTGAGATTGTGCATGAGTGCACAAGTGTGTGTGTTTCAGTGTGAGATTGTGCATGAGTGTATGTGTGTGATTGTGTGCAAGTCTGTGTGAGTGTATGTAAGTGTATGTGTGAGTGTGTGAATGTGAGGTGAGTGGGTGTGAGTGTGCATGAGTGTGAGTGTGTATGTGTGAGATTGTGCACGAGTGTATGTGTGTAAGTGTGTGTCTATGTGTGTGAGTGTGATTAGTATATGTGTGAGTGTGTTAATGTGAGTGTGGTGTGAGTGTGAGTGAGAGTGGTATGAGCGAGCGGGTTGTGAAGGTGTGTGGGTGTGAGTGTGAGAGTGTGTGTGAGTGTGTATGAGTTGGATCTTGGGTGGAATTTGGTATTTTGGGAGTGACCTGGCTTTGTTGTAAGGGAATCAACATGGATTGTACATGACCACACCTGTGTGCAAGTACATATTACCTGCACATACGTGTCAGCCCGCTGGAGACAATGACAAAAAGGCCACGGGATATGACAGGATCATTCTGTTGCGGGCTGTTTGTGTGGCACCGTGGGTTAGGCCACCAGCTGTGCAGCCGCCTCCCCTGTCAGGGACACCCCTGGAGTCCCAGCTGCTCCTCTTCCAACCCCACTCCCTGCTATGCGTTAGTGCAAGCAGAGACAACGGCTCGAAACCCGGCTCCTGCCGCCCATGTGGAAATCCTCAGTAGCCCCTGGGCTCCTGGCTGTGACCTGGCCCAGCTCCAGTGTTGTGGCCATGCAGGCAGTGAGTCACCAGATACAAGACTTCTCATTCTGTCTTACCCTCTTTGTCTCTCTACCATTCCGTTGTAAAAAAGAAATTTTAAAAAACTTAGGCAGAATGGAGTGAGAACATACGTTTATTTTGAAAACCTAAGTTTATTTAGGAGCATGTGGGGAAGATTCCACGTGTACTTTGTCACTGTCCATGTTGCCCATGAGGTGTGTGACCCGCACATAGCAGGTGGCCGGCGGCAGGGTTCTCCGTGTAAGATCTGCAAACACAGACAGACACGCACACGCACACGTGACCAGACGCCCAGGCTGCCTCCTCTGTGCTGGTGTCTCCTCGTCTCGGTGCTGGGTTCTCTCCTGATGCCCTTGTCCCTGCCAGTGGCTCTCTCCTAACTGTCTGCCCCTCCCCAACCCCTGCACCTGCACCTGCACCTGCACCTGAACCTGTGCCATGTGACGCAGCACTGCGCTTCCTCTGGTGCTGCTGTCCATCTGCCTTCCTCCAGGGCCCAGGGCTCTGTCTCAGCTCTGCCTCCTGACGCTTTCTCTTTGTGTCTCTGCACACTGTCCCTTTGCTCTCTGTGTGCAATTATGATTCCCTTATATCAAATTTGGAGAGAGAGTGGCACTCATAGAGAGAGCTGTCGATGCAGAGAGAGAGAGAGAGAGAGAGAGAGAACACCACATCGCTGGTTCACACTCCTCTGTCCCCTGTAACAGCTGGGGCTGGCCCCGGGCTGTATGGATCACAGAGCTCAGAGAACTGAAGCAGGACTCCATGGCGACAGGAATCCCAGATCTGAGCCATCACTGCTGCCTCCCGGGGTCTGTGGTAGCCGGAAGCTGCAGTCTGGAGGCAGGGGTGTTTGTGTGTGTGTGGATCCCAGGCTCGCCCATGGGGGACACAGGTGCCTCCTTAGAGGCCCAGACCACCTACAGAGTGCCTGCTCTGCTGTCTGTGTGTCCCGGGGCTGATTTCATTCAATCTGTTGCCTGTGTTTCTGGGCGCCTCCTGTCTGGCCAGTGTTCTGGAAGGGCCTTGGTTCCTCTGTTCCTTTCATTTTGTTCCTGTTTAGACCTTCTGTGGGTCCTAGAAGAGGCCCTGTGAGCAGCGCTCGGCTCTGTCCTTGTCTTTTGAAGGAGCTGTCAGGAGAGGCAGGGCCGGGCCCGCTCCAGGCTCTCAGGTTGGCCAGGACGAGCTGGGCTGTGTGCAGATCCTCCCCGTCCTGGATTCAGCCAAGCCAGCGAGCGCCACTGCAGAGGCGCTCACAGCTCCCAGTCTGCTGTCCTAGCCTCTGCAACACCACGCCGGCTCCCGAGCGCTGTCCCCGCGGCTGGGTCCCGGATGCCCACGTGTGTGTCCAACCTCCCTCTGCGACTGCCCTGAAATGTTTCTGGAAGGAAGACATTGGGACAGGAAGCTTGAGCCCAAGCCGACAGTGCGGCTGTGAGTGTCGCTCCGCCAGCCCCAGCCAGAAGGGGAGAAACCCAGCTGGAGATCAGATCTTCCTCCCTGCTCACCACCTGAGCTGGGACCTGGTGTGTCCTCACTCCAGACCTGAGCGACAGCACCAGCATCTCTGGGTCTCACTCCTGCCCTGCTGGGACTGGAGCAGACCGCGTGCTCTGGGTTCTCAGTCTTGCAGCGGGGTCTGCACAGGAAACCTGGTGCTCCCGAGGGTCCCCACAGCTGAGCGCAAGGCTGGGACTTGGGGATCCAGAGTTACATGCACAATTTCTTTATAAGAAATCTCTCTCTCACTCCCTCTCTCTCTCACTCCCTCTCTCTCTCTCTGTCGTCACACTGTACATCCATCCTGGGATCCACTGATTCCCTAAAATATTTTCTGGAATGTTCCAATTCTATTCTCACTGTGGTATACAGCACATGTGTTAGACGGGACTCCAAGGCGACATGCATGGGAGAGAGCGGAGAGGCTGCACTTCATTAACATGAAGACTTCTGCTCTTGCATGAGAGCATGTTGCTGATTTTAGGGACCAAGGAAGAAGGGAGGCAGCCAGTCAGAGCAGAAACAACTTGGATCGAAGTCAGGACAGAGAGGCAGGGCAAGGGAGATTCTCGCTCAGCCGGTGAGCAGGGGTCTGAGAAGAGAGTCAGCCCCTGGCCAGGGCACTGCAGCCCACCGATGCTGCTTGTAGAGACAGGGTATTGGGGCGGGGGGGGAATGTGTGAGGCCCTCATCCACTGAGAGAGGACGGTTTGAAGAGGCAGAAGACCCCCTTGGTCAGAGTTTGCATCACTTGCTCCTCTCAGCTGGGAATGTCACGGGCCAAGCAGGCAGCTGAACGCCGTGGCCGCAGCACCTCAGCGTCACTCTGCCCCAGGTTCCGTGTGCCCTGTGTGAGGGTCACACTTGGGGCACACGGCCCCGAAGTCCTAAGAGGAAACCTTGTGAGGATGAGCAGTCAGGGCCCCGCCTGGGAGGACACCCTGATACCAGGAGGTCTCTCAGAGGC